TTTCAATTTGAAGTGAAAGACTCAAACTGTCTATGGCATATTTTGAAACATTTAAATAGAGAAAAATTTAACAGCTCATTTCTTATTGTGATTGTGCTGACAATAAGAATCTTGGATTAGCATATTCCTACAAAATTTTAATGCAGAATTAACTATGTTAAAGATTAAATTTAGATACCTTTTTAGCATGCTGTATTTCTGACCTTATAGTATAGTGTCAGTGAAGACAGTGTAGAAAACTATAGGATAACATTATTCAGACTTTTCATGTCCTTGTAAGTCAGTTGCAAAGACCCTTTAGAAGATCATTTAGTCTTAAAATTCTTACAGATGTTGCAGTTTTTTCTACTGGTACCCTTTTCTAAGACACAAACTTGATAGTAAAACAAACTGCACCTGTTGTATAGCCTTTTTTTTTCCCCAGAGTGTCAATTCTACTTTTCTTAGTAGTCAATGCATTCGAAACATTAGGATGTTTTCAGTTGCCTTATTTATGGGTGTAAACAGCTGTTAGTGCTTGGACTTAGGTTCCTTACAGATATTATGGTATGGTAACTTAGGTTTTAACACCATATGGTTGAAGTTGCTTTCTTTAAATCAACCTAAGATACCAGGTTGATTATTTACTTTCATCATCACCAAAAGAGCTTGGATTTCAAAGCATGATGTAGCAGTTCCCCAGGTTATACTGTTTTTAATAGAACATGTAGGCACAGCGGAAGTCAGAAGGAATTTGACTCTTGCAGATAGCAGGTTGCTAATGAGATCTCTGTAGTAGGGAGGCTATTACATTTTTTTTCGTTACTTAAAGATATGCTGAATTATTTTACTTGTCTTTACAAATACAGTGTGGAATATTTGTTGTTGGTTTTTTTTTAACTAGAAAAGTGGTTATTTAGTACTTAAATCTATCTTTAGCCACTAGAAAGCTTTCTGAGGTACCTGTGATTTGGTATAGTTTTTGAGATTCTGTATTCCTCTTTATGGAATGGGTGGGATAGGATATAATTAACCTGAATTCTGATTTTTATCAACTTCCATATTGAAAGATCTTCCATACACCTTCAATACAGTGGCTAAAAGATCTAATGGAACAGTTTCAAATAAAAATGAGAATTGTGTATCTTTATATAAACTGCTGGATTTTTTCTTTTTCCTTATGTTTTAGCAGTCTCCAGTTCTGTAGCATCTCTTATGGCTATTTTTTCCTTCTACTTCGTTCTGTTTTTTTTATTTCTCACACTTAGTCTATTCAGGCATCCAAGTAGAAACTTCAGGCTCCAGCAAAAATGTGAATTTAGCTCTTTGACTGGAAAGATACTTGAGGAGAAAATAGTTTTTGTGAAGCTTGCTGCTGCTTATACATTTCACTGCAGAGAAGCCTGGGCTTTTCAGTCTGTGTTAGTGGAAGAAAATAGTTATCATAGTGCCTATATTTTTTACATTGACTTTTCTTTTGCTTTGTGGCAAAATGTGGAATCTTCAGCAAATTTTAGACTCTGTAGTTTTGTAGTATTCCTAAAAATTTCTATATGACTTGCAGTTGTGAAATGTAAACTAGAAGATGTGCTGAGACACTGAAATGGGAACTTATTTCTTTAATGAACTGGAACAAGAATAAATACAATTTGAAATGAAAAATCACGAGTACATAAGATGCGCTTGCTTTCATGGTCCTTAATACCAATTTGGTTGCGCTTTAAATCAGTTTTCAGCCATAGTCTCTTATTTCAATCTCTCATGGGTTGATTTCATGTATTGCATGAGTGGTTCTACACGCTGTTTGTAATTTTATGAGCTCCTGTTAAGACTTGAGCGCTTTAATGAGGTGATGAGTAGCAACCGGTGGGACTGAAATGCTCAGAGAGAGGGGCTTCTTAATAAAAAGGGTCCCAGGCCACTTTCTTCCGTTTGCCTAGGTAAGTGATCCTCCCACCACAGCAGCCAGGGATGTTTACAGGTCGGGAGCTGAGGTGGAGGCACTGTCCGCAGGTACAGAGGGAAGTGATGAGGGTGGCGGCATCAGAACCACACCATTATTCACCACCCTCGCCAGTCTCTCAAACCACTCTGTGTCATGTCCGTTTTTGGAAGGTGCTACATGTCAGAGTGAGCATGCTGTTTCCTGGTGTTGACACCTCTGTTTCCCCAGGGCGGCTGTTATGGCGTGACATAGTCTAAGTGGACCTGTTCTTCCCGTCCGTGGCTATCTCCTAGACCAAACCCATTCACGTGACGGGACAGCAGGAAATGCATCATGAACTGACTGAGAACAGTCTGGGCCTGCATTGCACCTGGATGCTAGCGTGTCTGCTTGTTGTGCTGCCCTGCGTTTTTATCGTGGACTAAGGGAGGAAAACTTAAATGTATAGCTCTGCCACTGAGACGTGTGATATGTGAACCTTAAGGAAGAAACAGGAGGACAACTTGTGTAATTCCTCCCACTGAAGCAAGTCTCTTTGCAGACAATGACTGGGCCTAAATATGGGCTAAGCTGCTTTAAAAACCAAACAAAAAAGTCTTTTTAAGCCTATGAAGCTTACAGGTGCCAGGAAAAGCAAAAAAAGTTACATGGAGTGGTTTGGCGTAAATGCAACTACTGTTGATGAATTTAAGAGCATCTAAAGCCTATCTGTCATGGTACTGTTTCCCCCTCAATTTATAGTGTACTATATCTAGTTGAACATGAGATTAGCTATCCATCAACTACAACAAATAATAAATTCGCTTAATTGATGAGCCTCTAATTTCACTCACCCCCAAACCATAAATTGTAGACATTCCTTTTTCCTTTTGAAAGATGTCTGTAGTAAATGTGTTAATTATTTGAAAAGTTTTAATCTCATTTTACTTGAGTGTCTTATTAATACCAAATCTCCTTGATGAAATGGTATTAACATTCCAAGTAGTTGTAAGTGAATCCCAGGGAAAAATATATACTGTTGAACATCTGTAGTCTTAGTGAGATGGCATCAGTGCCTAGTGCTTTCTAGTCATTGCCAGTGGGTAAAGAATCCTTGTTCCCAGCTGTATTAAATACTGTGGGTCCGTGTTTATAATTGTTACTGAGTTAGAGGAGGCTCAGAAGATATGATATCTGAGGGAGAAAAAACAGGTGGTACCAAAATGTTACCTAGATGATTATCTTCTATCTAGCATTTTACATTTTTGTGTAACCTTAATCTTGTTTCTATAAGAATACTGAAATGAAACGTTGATTGGGATGAAGGGTTTTTTAATATGACTCGCGTTGAAAGGCTCTTTGCAGTTCGTGGAGTTCTTTAAGTTATCTAAAATTATTTTTAAAAATAAATTTCCTTTCTTTAATAAATTCTCCTTAACAGGAGACCTTACAGTAACAGATTTTCAGTCTTTACATGAGAATCCTTCATGCATCATCAAACTCCAGACCTAGCTAATAACAATTCTGCCTTTATTATTTAAGACAAAAATCAAAGGTTTTCCACTTGTTGCTTTCGTTTATGTTTTGTTGACTGCTGCTGCAGTGGTGCCTCAGTAATGTAATTAGCAATGCAGCAAAGACTAATCCTTTTGTTTGTTGCCCTTTACTTCAGCTCTTCAGTATCTCTAAATGTAATAGCTGCTATACGTGGTTCTGAGGTTCCATTTCATGCTGGTATGTTGGAGGGAGAGGAAGATGTTATCATAAATTAGACATTATCAGAGGAGGGCTTTGTAAATATCAAACAGAAAAGCAGGTAAGGTAACTGCTGGAAGTGATCAATAGAAAAAGCAGAAAGCCAAGTAAACAATTAAGCATATGACTTCTGAGATTTGCTGCTCAGTTTCATTCTATGTGAAATGTATCTAAAATAGCAGATTAACCTGTGCTTCCTAGTAGAATAGTTGCTTAAAAATTGCATTTTATGAGATGGGAATACAAAGGTCATGTTTGTTGTCTTAAACTATTTTCAAATTGGCATAGGTGAATATTTTTGTATACAGTTCATTATGGCATGACAAATTTGTGTTAACTAATTTGAACTAGTGTCAAAATGATTGGAATGTTTTGATAAACTAGGAAATGTTAGGTTTAGGTGATTTTTTGGATGCTTTCATTAGTTGATGGTGGGGGTTGGGTTATTTTGGGCAGGGGGGAATTGGTGAAAGGCCTAGCTTTTCATTATGCGTTTTTTCTTTTTGGATTCCTGTCGTCTTGGTCATGAAATGACTTTTGCTTAAGAAACAGAAGCAAAATTGATTTTACTAACCTCAAATTGATTTGGGGGTGTGGAGATTATTCATTTCAACTTTCCAGTATTTGCTATTAAATTGTTAACAATTGTACTGGACACTAACTTTATTAAAATAAACTACCTTTTGTAAAGCTTTTGGACTTTGACCTAGCCATAACTTTAGACAAGATTACTGGTTAGTATAGTAAAAATATTTTCCCTCTTTAGTTTGCCAACAGATTGCCAACAGCTAAGTGACATTGCTGGTAAATTTCTCAAGGTAGCATTCTGTTCTATGATCCAGGCCTTCAACGTTTTAGTGTGATCTTTTCATAAGTGCTGTACAAGGATGCATTTTGCTGCTGAAATAATGCAGTTTTGCATGTATTTTGTAAAATTACTCATTCCAGATTGTCTGCAAAACATGATTAGGTATGTTGAAGGTGATGAAATTGGTATGTGTATAGCTTTACCCCTACTTTCAAAATAAGGCATGGCCTTTGGCTTTCTTCATTCACGCTTTAAACTTCATGGCTAATATCAGTATTCTCCATCAATAACCCAGGATGCCTAAAAGAGAAGAAAGTTGTTCTTAGCTCCTGCAGGGACAGAATCTTTCTGTATTAAACCATATATGCTAGGAATTCCTTTTGAGCTCCCTTGCTGTTATGCCACTATTAAATGACCTCTCAGCAGGTTAATTGGTATATGATTAATGAGCACAGTGTTTCTTAGCAATATCCCACATATATATGTATTTTTGTAAGAGACAGATAAATTTCTTTTGTTCTTTCATTTTCACAGTTACATGGGAATTGGGCTTTCGGCACAGGGTGTGAACATGAACAGACTACCAGGTATGTTTCAGTATTTATTACATTTGAAAAGTTACTTATCTTGGTTGGTTAGTTTTTTAAAATATGCTTGACCTTGATGGGAAGGTTCTGGTAAGCAACAGAGTATAGCGTGACATCTCTGTGTTGTATCTGTTATCTGAATTATGTAAAGCTTGCAGCTAAAAAGTTTAGCTTTTACTGTACATTTGCTCCTGTACTACTTCCCTCAACTCTTAGTGTTATTTATAACATTATGCAGATACTTTTTAGCAAACAAATACATTTTAAAATTTTCATCATGTTTCCTGATAAAAATGAAGCCATAGATTTCCTTGCTCTGTAAACTGAATTTCTAGCAATAATGATGAGCTACTATGACAAAAACTTTGTCACATGGAGTGAGCTCTCCTACTGTCAGTTTCCATTCCGTTACCTGTCCAACCTTAGTAGTAAGGATGTGTAGCATAGTTTTAAGTTTTGACTGTTCCATTGACCAGCATGGTCAGTGACACTGTCTTGTTAACAATTGTATGCAGTATCTCTGTATAGTATTTAAAGAAGTTTTGTGTGTGTGTACATGTTGGTTTTTTAATAGATCTTTATTTAAAAAAAAAAAACCCACCCAAAAAACCCGATTGGTTTTTTGAAATTGTTACTATTAGCCGAGTATAAAATCAAGTATAGAATCTAATTGACCTTAGAGTATGTGTATTCTTTCTTTTGCATTGTTACTTTCTCACCCAAATATTCTGGTAGAGATCCTTATGATCATGACAAGTCCCAGTTACACTGAGCCAAATTAAGGGTGATGAATTATTAGTGGGTGGCATTAAGTTTGAGTGATTTGGGATGCATTGCAAATAATTGTCAAAGATACTACTAATCAATGTAACTGCAGTAATTTGGGGTATTTAATTTACTGAGAGATGCTTAATGTGTTGCCAGCTGAAGCTACCGATCATACAGATTAAGGGTCTAAGTATGGAAAATACTTTCAAATTAACCTGTTAGGCAGCAGCTTGACAGAAGAAGAAGAAACCCACAACCTTTTACTCTTTAAAAATAATCTGAGTTGTCTGTATAAATTCTTATAGTCAGAATGCGTGTGTGTGTATATGTGTGTGTATATATATATATATGGGATTTGGCGATAATTGTTGAAGGCCATGCTTTATATTATTTTGAATAGGCATTTAATAGATCTGTTAGGAAGATTTGGTGGTGCCTGAAAGTTTACTCCTTTTCTATGTGTTTTTGTTCAGTATTGAATTGCAGAGAGTGTGGACAGGTATTTTTAAATGAGCTTAGACTGAAATGGCTTGCTGTGAATTTCCTTGAGTAGTGAACAATATGAAGCTTCTTAACTGGTTCTGCAGCTTCTTCACCTGCAAAATTAGCACCATATTTGCATACATAATGATTTGCCTACTGGCTGTGACTCTCGCCTGTATTGATAATATTTTTCCTTCTTTTTTTTTTTTTTTTTAATTTTTAGGGGCAGCAAAGCTAGTGACACTATAGTCTGGAGATTCTGCTATTATACAGAGACTGCTTGCTGCTGAATAGTCATTGAGAATAATCAGGAATAGAAATGTTTCCCCAGAGATGCATGTTTGAGTTTTAGCCAGGAAGAATTTGATTATGACATATGGTAGCAATAGTTTTGCAAGATGAAAGAGAGAACAGGAGAATCTTCACTGCTTTATTGGGACGTGTCAGATCTGCATATAGCTTTTCAAATTTCAACATTGTAGCTGATTATATTTTTGGTGTATTAACACAAATTATTAAATTTTGTGTGTTCACTTAAAGAGAAAAATGTGTTACCTGAATTTGTGTTACCTGTTATGTACTAAAAATGGAATTACCTGTTCAGCCATTTTGATAAAAGAAGTTGTCGTTTTTTTAAATGAAACAGATTTCTTATCTAAGAAATCTTAGAAAGCAGAAAGCTGAGCATAGTAATTAACCCTTTTAACCTGGTTAGAATATACTAACTTTGCATAGTCTTTCCATTATTTCATAATAAAGGAAACGAATAAATTGCAAATGCTTTTGTTCTCTAGGTTGGGATAAACATTCATATGGTTACCATGGAGATGATGGACATTCATTCTGTTCCTCTGGAACTGGACAACCCTACGGCCCAACATTTACTACGGGTGATGTCATTGGTTGTTGTGTCAACCTTATCAATAATACCTGCTTCTACACAAAGAATGGACACAGCTTGGGTATGGAGAAACATTATCTTTAATGATAACATTATGTCTGTAAGTCTGTTGAAAATCTGAAGCTCTCTTCATGTCAGGAGCAAAGTGTTTGAATAGTTCTTTCGATAGTCTCATAGCCTATGAATTGGGAAGAATAATTTCTTGTGTGCCACTTGCACTAACATTACTTGTGAATTTGGAAGGATTTGTCATAGCATCTCATTCCACAGGACCTGCATTTATGAACTCTGCTACTAAATCCACAAACAATACTTGATGTTTATAAGGTAATAGATAACAAGAGAACTGGAGATAAGGAGAAATGGATATAGCTAAAATTCATTGGTGCTGTATGGGGGACACCTAGCCTTCACTAAAACCTTACATTGGATGGGTGTTATTTTGAACATATGTTGGAGAACAGTGTCTTTTGGATTCCCAGTCTGGAGTCATGCATAGTTGGGCTAAAGCCATGAATTATACAGGTTGTGCTAAAATTAAGTCCATTAAATTCTTGTGGTAAATTTTAGTATTATGCAACACTGCAAGACAATTTTTGAGTTTGAAGATGTCAGGAGAGGGTAGAGTTAAAATTTTTGATGCAATATGTATAATAATTCAGTTACTTAATGCAATTTAATAAGCAAAGATACAGAGTGTAAAGAAAGAAGGAAAAAAAAATCTACTTCCTGCATTAAGGGGAGAGCAAGGGCTTGGGAAGAGATCTTGGAATCGTGCTGAGGGGAGTAGGAAGTTTCAAGTGATAAAGCTCAGAAAGAAGAAATAAGGTTTTTGTCATGGGTAGAAATGTGGTAAGGAAAAGAGAGGCTAGCTTGAAATGAAATAAGAGGTTATTGAGATCAGGACTCTTGAAGTCGCTGTTCTATTTTCTCACATTGCCAAACATGAGGAAGGTTTGGAAAGTAGTAAGGGGAAGGACGTGGTTTAAATTCTTCTCCTTGTCTCTCAGAACAAGACTGCCTGTTTGTTTGCTTAGGCCCTGAGCAAACAGATCTAACTTTGGAGTTTTCCTGCCCCTGCTCAGAGCAGGGCTTAGATGCCTCCAGAAGTCAATTCCAAGTAATCACTTCCGTGATTCTATTCTATCATGATTTAATGTTTCTTCTAAATTGAATGAGTCTATATACCTGGACTTAATACCTTGACGCCTATGGCAGTAGGACGCTTGAACCATGCACTGTGTAGTTGTTTCTTTTGGCCGTGTTTCAGGGTGTATGTCAAAATGGAAGACAGCAGACTCATGTTGTGTTTACCCTAATCTTTAACTGGATTAAAGCTGAGAAGGGTAGTCTTCCCTTATTCCCTTTTTGGAACTAGTAACAGTGGGCCTGCAGGTAAGTTGGATCAGATTGTTGATCAGCTAGAGACACTGGGTTTCTGACCACCCTTATGGTCACATGCCTGGAAGAGCTAAGAAAGGGAGGAGCCGAACCTTCTCTAACAGTGGAAGTCTTAAAGCAGACTGTATTAGGCCAACTGTGAAACAACACTCCAAGTGATTAAAATCTGTTTAAAGAGGAGAACAGAATGGCATAGGTGGGGAGAGGCTAGTAAAATGTCATCTGTCATAGACAGAGTCTGACAAACACTTTATGGATTTCAGAAGGAAACCTGGCAGCTGTTCCGCTGTCATGGGCTTTGCTCGCTTGAATTTCTGACACAGGAAAATTGATTCTGTGTTTAGAGGAAAAATAAATTAGAAATTTTGTCTGTCTTGCTGACTTGTTGCTGCTAGTTGTCCAGAATTCCTATACGACTGTGACTTGGAGGACATTTATGTTTCTTCTCTGGGCCACAGATGCAGTCTAGAGTACTGGAAATCTCTGGCTCAGCCTAGTATTTAATGCTACAAAAAGGGCTAAGCAATTATTTATGCAAGTGTGAAATCCTTGCAACCCCCTCCCCAAAAACCCCAATACCTTTATGTCACTCAGTCATCATTTATCATTTATCTGTCTTGCCTACTGCCATGGTTATTTTGGAAAAGGGCGAGTTGGATGTCAAAACGTGCCAAACAGAGAATAGCTTAGAAAAACTTAGGGTGTGAACAGGTAATAAATAAAATGATAGCTTTCAGATGTGATGGGAGGAAACAGATTCACTCTGTGTGTCATTCTTTTGTATCAGAGTGAGTAAGGAATCCAGATACTTTTGAGATTTGAAATCTTGGTGAAGAATGGAGATGGAAAGCAGGGGTAGAATTTAGGACAAAAAGTTAAAAGCTTTGTTTTAACCTTAAATTTGAAAAGGCAGTGATACAAAATAAGAGTTTGGAGGGATAAGTGGATTTGAATCATTATGCACTTGTGAAAAAAATAAATTTGAAGAAATATTTGGCAACAATAAAGGAAATTATGGAATACTGTTCTCATTTGGCTTTCAGAAGGAGACTTCCTGATACTTATTTTTTAACTCAAAGCTTCCTCCTCCCGCCCCCCACCTAAATGGTGTGAAGTTCCTGAAGTGCATAGAGGTCAGATTTTTCTCTAATCCTGAGACAGCAAAATCACTGCCTTGGTCCTATGGGTAGATGGATGCCTGTAATTATATAACAAGATATTAAGCTATTCTGTTAGAAAACCAAAACACTTTGGCGTGGATTAGAGTGAAACATTTACCAGACTGGTATGGAGTATTATAGGCATGTGCTGCTCATGTAAAGATAATGCGTAGTTGTGAAGAAAAGTAATAGCAAACAAGAAAAGGCACCGTTAAATCTTGGTGTCACAGCATCAAGACATGCAAGTGAAAAAATATCTTCAGATACTCTTATTTTTCCTCTTAATTCTAATCTGTAGCCAGAATTTTCATGCTTTCTAATCTGCGTATCTGTATGACGTTTACTAAATCTTATGCCCTGTTTTGAAAAATGGAGGGCAAATTGAGTGACAATTTTGAATGACAATTACTTTTTGCTAAATATTGCCCTTTATTACTCAAGCACATCAGTTGTGCCTAAGCATCATGGATGTCACCATACTTAGTTCTGAGATGGTTTGGGTGAGTTTTCTGAACATAAAACGATACACTTAAGAAAACGAGGCTAGAATCCAGGCATATGGAAATTAATCTTAATTTTCTCTTCATTACAGGCATCGCTTTCACAGATTTACCGGTAAGATAAGTGCATTTTCAAACAGCTTTCCTTTGTATTATAAACAGATGTTTCAGATGTAACTTGCATTTACGTTATGCTTCTTGGAAATATAACGATAATCTTCTTAACCAATTTAATATCAGGTATTTCTCCTCATCATTTCAGTGGTGATTTGTTAATTGAAGCAAAGCAAGTTTTTTGTTTTTACACCGATCCTCGCAGGGGTTTTCCTTTTCAGGTTTTTAACAGGCAGTTCTAATGGAAGTTTAGCAGAAAATAATACATACAAGTAGTTATTACATACTTTGACACATGCAGGCCTTACAAAGTCAAAGCTATATTAAACACCAGCACGGTGCGTGTGTGTGTACAGCTGTGTATCATATGCAGAAAGGCTGGCTACTTAAGACATGGTCACTGTAACTCGTGCTTGATGTCTAATTTTCAAAATCTTTCTCTATACTGTTCACTCCATAAGATCAAACATATCAAAGTGTTTTGTTTTTTAAAGAAAGCTGCAGATAGCTGAAGTCTTCTAGCTTTTCAGTCAATTAAATTGTACTTTTCTTAAAATCATTACAAACATGTTCCCTGTGCTACTGGTACAGGCATGATACTGCACTTATTTTGTTTTTTTTCTCATCTGCTTCATTTCTGATTGAATCTAGTCAGGGTGCAGTGTGTGATGCACTTCCGTCTGGCCACCTACTCCCATTTGCTATGGCCTTAGGAGGCAAGGACAGATATTAAGGAAAATTAAGTCAATAACCCAGGGCACCTCTCAGCCCTGCCACAGAGTTGGGTGCTTCGTGTAGGAAGCCACTGCCACTGTCCCAGATGTGTGGGATGCCAGCAGGGCTCCTTGCTAGCACATGGTACCAGCACAAGAAAACTGACACTGTAATCTGCAGTTTGAAGCTGGATCCCTCCTCATTAGAATCGATTGCTTTCATCTCATTAAAAGATTTGAGACTTGTGCTTTGTTGATTAGTCTAGACTACGTAATACTATAAGCAAGATTTGTTAAAAAAAAAAAAAAAGGGGGGGGGGGCATGGAAATGGGGGGCAAGATCGGCTTGGGCATGGTTTTAACAACCAGAGTATTTTTCTTTAATTTTGCTGGGTTCACTGGGCTTCACCGTCCCTACTGATCTGCATGTTGATAACTTCTTACTGATAGCTTGAATTTATTTAGCGTATAGTTCTGTAGATCAGCATACCATTATACCATACCACCATTGATTGCAGTGTAAATATGATGTAGGTATATTTATAAATAAAAAAAGAACCAGCAACAAAACCCCACCCACCCAAAACCCCGACTGATTGCATTGCCATTGCGAAGGTGCTAGTTGCATTTAAGTTACTTTAATCCCAACAGGCAGATTTTACTTTTCTCATATTTGGCATATTTCAAATTTGCATGGAGACCTAATCTCTAAGCAGAAAATAAAACTAAGACAACAATAAATGCTTTAAAGTCTTTTTCTAGATACAAGTCCAGGAATTCACGAGAACTTCAATGCACTGTTACAGTTCTTTTTAGGCGCTACACTTGGACTTTGAGGCTAATGAGTTCTCTATCCTGTCAGTTCTTACCACTAAAATTCAGCGATGTTTTAAGTATTTCACCCCAAAAGGAAAATGGCCCACTTTGTAAGTTTAATTTTTGTTCTCTTTTTAAAAGAAACTTTAATCCTGGTCTTTAAAAATCATTAAAAAATTGGTATTTAATAGTTTGTAAAATTGAAACCAAAAGTTGTAAACTTTAGCACAGTTTAAAAAGTGCATTTTCTGACTAGAAAGAGAATGATCAGTAAGGCTTTCTTATGTCAAAATAAAAAAATTATGACCACTGTGAATAAAATTAATCAGTCATTGTATTGCTGGATTGGTAGAAGTTGCTTTAACTGCTGGAAAGATGATGTAGAGGTATTTGCTTCTTCACACTACTAGTAGCAGTGGGGATATTATTACAGAGATGGAAAAAAAAAAAGTGGGGAATTTAGTATAAGAGGAAAAAACTAATTAAAAAATTTCTTGCAGCCAAACTTGTACCCTACAGTAGGGCTTCAAACACCAGGAGAGGTGGTGGATGCTAATTTTGGACAACACCCATTTGTATTTGATATTGAAGACTATATGCGAGAATGGAGAACCAAAATTCAAGCACAGATTGACAGATTTCCGATAGGAGATCGGGAAGGAGAGTGGCAAACAATGATTCAGAAGTAAGACTTTGAATATTGTTTATTTTAAAAAAAAGTTAATAATTGCATTTCGGAGATCTTTAAAGCATTGTATCTATTGTCTTGTGCAAAAAATTACAGATAGTATTGAAACTAGTACAGATAGTTTTGTTAACAGGTTTGATAAACATGTATAACATTGAACATGAATAGATGTTTGGGGAAGAGTTATCTACATCATTAATAATTAAGAGTTTATAATGACGAGTATAAGCCTTCTGTTCTGATTTGACCTACCTAATGTGAATTGGGGAGTTTAGAAAAATTGCCATGGTTGTAATGGGCAGTATTACACTTTGGGCTCTGGCAATTTCCTTTTGCCTTCTCAGCCTTCGGCATGCCAGGTTGTGGCTCGTTAGTGTCTCACTTGGAAAAATGGTGGTTGTGGCTTTGCGTTTTTTATTTCTTCAGTGAAAACAAAAAACTAGTGTGCAGAAATTTCACTTCAGTGTATGTAATGAGAAAAAAACCCCCAACTTAATTAGCGGGTCATACTTTAATTGAGCCTACCTTTGGGTGATGAATAATTTTTATTAAAATTCACCATAATAAAATGATACATTGATTTTTAAAATTGTTTTTCTGTACAGTGTTTTGAAGAAGATACTGGCTCTTAATTGAATTACTTCTGTCTGACTTGTACGGAAATTTCTGAATTTCAAGTAGAATTCTTTAATTCAGTCACTTTTTTTCAGAAAAGGGTTTTTACATTCAAGAAGTTATTGGTTTCTTACCTGTATTTAATGAGTGTTTCTGGGTTTTGTTTTTGTTTATTTTTAGAATGGTATCATCTTACTTAGTTCACCATGGATACTGTGCAACAGCAGAGGCATTCGCCAGATCCACAGACCAGACTGTGCTAGAAGAATTAGCTTCCATTAAAAATAGACAAAGTAAGGCTGGAAATCATGTTACATCCTTTTCCTCCTCCCTTAAACAAAGATTACATAAAACTTTCTCTTAAGCATCATTGTAGAATTTCCTTTCAGCACTACTCCATAGTACAATTCTTTGCTGTCGTGTAAAGTTACACACGTATGAACAGCTGGTTAAGATGAGCTTCCGCACTAACACTTTGGAACTTACTTGATGTAGCGGAATGTGGTAAATTACCTGTTGTCTTTCTCTTGAATGGAAGATTGTGATCTGTCTTAAACAAATGTGTGTAACGTCTCTAAAACGAGTGTTTGTGAGAGCTAATGGTCAGTCACAAACAGAAATATAAAACTTAGTGTTGACAAACATGTAGACTTTTATCTTAACTGTGAAAAGGGGCAGAGTTTAGAGAATGCTTTATAAGTTAAATCAAATTTGAGTTTTTCTGCTTGCAGATGTGAGGGGGAAGAGGACAAGGAGAACTAACAGCAGTTCAGTTCTAACTTGCTGTGGCAATGCTGTTTGGCAGCCTGATTAAACAGTGCCTTCCCCGTTCATTTAAATCCCTGCTGTATGAACACAAGCATTTGTGTGACTGCGTGACATACCACATAGGGAAACTGCTCTGTTTGAAAAATAACCTGTTCATTGGGCTGTTTTTCATTTGGATCAGTTTCTCTGTTGGCGGATAGAGCTGTGAGGCTGTTTGCGACTTGTGCCGGGTTACAGCAACAGAAGCATCAGCTAAAGCAGGGACTGTTGTGGAAAGGTTTAGTCAACTGTAACCTGACTGGAAGTATGTGTTGTAGGTGAGAGACTGAATTTTGTTTTTCTTAGTCCAAATTAAACCTGTGGGAGTGGGATGCAATTTGGATGTTCTTGGGTGACGATAGTTTGGTATGTGCTTATTTATAAAGGCGTGAAAATGAGAAATAAATCGCAGAAGAGTGTCTGCAATCTTAATCTAGCTCTAAATGTGCAATCTGAGTACAAAGTAGTTGTATGCTGGCAACAAATAAAAATACTGAGTACTCATTTAGATATATGTAGGTGGAGTGCAGTTCTTAAATTTTCCTATTGAACATTTCAAGGAAGCATGATCTTTCTTTACACTATTTTTTTCGAAGAGGAAAAAACCTTGTTGATTGATGGTTGCAGTCTCTTTTAATCGTTAATTTACATGTATTAATCCATAAGCTGTCCATTTAACTGATGTTGATTTTGGTGAACAGAAATTCAGAAATTGGTTTTGGCAGGATGAATGGAGAACCCATTGAAACAACATAACAGCTGTATCCAAGTTTACTAGAAAAAAATCCTAATCTCTTATTTGTTTTTTGGTGAACAGGAATTCAGAAATTGGTTTTAGCAGGAAGAATGGGAGAAGCCATTGAAACAACACAACAGTTGTATCCAAGTTTACTAGAAAGAAATCCTAATCTCTTATTTGCATTAAAGTGAGTCTTCAAATTATACAGATGTGTGTTTATAGATGGCACAGTACCTTCTGAGACAAGACAGTTACTCATTTAAAGCTTTCACAGAAATTTAAACAAAGTTAAGCAGCGTTTTTTAGAAAATGTGTATAGTTCACTTTTTTAATGCTATATTATTTGCTACATGTTTAACTAGGTTTTGTCATCAAGGTCCTGTTTTGCAGCATAATTCACATCTCACTGTAGATTTGTTCTCTAGAACTGATTTTTGTAATTTTTTAAATCAATTTTAATCAGTTTGGGTGTCAAGTAAAACTTAAAATGTAAACTGATACAATATCATATTCAAGAAGGTTGAGTCCTGTTGGCATAAGTTGGTCTGTTCCTCCAAATGGGTGACTGACTTTAAAGACCAGTTTAAATAAGCTGTTTCACTCCATGTCACTTTACTAGAAACCTCTGGCTAATACTGTGGAAATTCCATAATCCCAAAGAGTTCTCTTGGCTTCCCAGGCACACAATAGTCACCTTCATTCTGGCATTTTTACTTGCCAGCTGCGCTGATCCTCCAGAATTTTGTATCATGTTGTAGTGTTTGAATGTGGAAAAAAAATGTTATCTCCTATAAGAACAAAGCAATTTAATTTTTATGTTCAGTTAAGTAACTCGGAATGTGTTTGAAGTCTGTCACGTTCAAGTGCTGAACAGAATTCACGTGGTAGTACTGCAGACTTATCACAGAATTCACAAAATGCGAACATTTTGATGAAAGACTTCACTCGATAACGTCAACTGTATGTTATCTTTTTCTCAATCTGTCTTTCTAAATTTTGCCTGTTCCGTTGAGGCTATCCAAGCCTAAAACATAAAGCAGTAGGTCTGAGCTCCCTAGTAAAACCTCCTTATCTAAAATAAAACTGACAAAGAGCAACAGCCTCTAAAGGGAAGGTTTGTATATGAGCTTGCTTTTCAAACTGTTCTGTAGTGCAAATGTTTAATGTTAAGAGTTACTGTTTAATGCTTACTGTTCCAGACAGTCAAACTATGTTCTCATTTACTTTGAGAGAAATGACAGACATGACAACGTAACGACATATCCTTCTCAAGAAATAACCTTGCCCCTGCCAATAAAACAAAACAGTTAAAACAAGGAAATACAGTTTAGTTCTCTAAACTTTGAGGACTTACTGGCAAAGTCTGTCCTGGAAGGATAATATTCCTGCTCTCCTCCCTCACAAATTTTGTAATTGTGTATTTTGGGCTGAATACTCCAAAGCTTATTGATGATTGGGTTACTGACATCCAGCATTTTGTTGAGTCAGACTTTTTGTATATTTAACACTAAAATTAAATCATTGCTATCGTTGGTATATTGAAATGTGTAAATTGTTTTATTAGCTTAACTTTTTTGCCTTTTGTTTAGGGTGCGCCAGTTTATAGAGATGGTGAACGGTACAGACAGTGAAGTGCGGTGTTTGGGAGGCCACAGTCCAAAATCTCAAGATAGTTACCCTGTTAGCCCGCGATCATTCAGTAGTCCTAGCATGAGTCCCAGCCATGGAATGAATATTCACAATTTGGCAACAGGCAAAGGGAGCAGCACACACTTTTCTGGTAAGTTGATGTGGAAGATACACCACAGAGATTTGGATATACCACACCACGAAGCTTTTTTGTTTGTTTGTTTCCAATTAAGTATCCGGAAAAGTTACAAATACTTACAGACTGACAATTTGTTTTACTTAAAAGTTGATACTGAATGCTTTGTATAAAGGTATACTTTTAATGATTAAAATACATGATTTTCAGCCACTTGGGGAAATGGAGAGTATATAAATAGAATCACATCTTTTTTGCATGTGCTCTTGGTTTTACTAAGGGTTTGCGAAGTAGGTTGCCACTGATTTCTAAGAAATGCTTGCTTCCGGGAGATAGAAGATTCTGACACAAATTTCTGTGGTCCTCTCAATAATAATTTATGGCTTGGGCAAGGTGGTTTCAGTCCAGTAGGTGGTATATACGATCCATTTCCTATGGTGTTCATGGAGTAGTAGGAACAGCTGCTCTTGTGTAGGAAATACCAGAAGCTAGGTGGTCGAGTTAGGTAAAAGTCTTTCTGCTGGCAGCCAAATTTCAGTCTGCGCAGTTGAAACAGTTCTGAGAGCATCTAGGTTGGTGGTAAAGCTTCAGTGGGAAGCTGTGAATGTTCAGAGCTGCCCCATGCCTACGAGGAGATCCCCGTGCCTTCCAGAGCACCCCTGCAGAGAAGTGGAGCATGTTAAAATGGTCTGTGTGTCATCTTTGGTATGTGTCATCTTTGAACCCCAGACTCTTAAGGTAGCAGAGGCCATCAACTTTCACTTCTGTTGCATTCTTAAATCGAAACTGGAGCTGATTGGGGTTGTTTTTTGGTTTGGGTTTTTTTCCTCTCGGTGGGATTGAGTAGGAAGCCAGGGTAGCCTGGCTACCAGAATACCTGCTGCCCTTGGAAAGGCAGCAGCTTCGCTTTTCTTCCCTCTGTATCAAAACTGTTGCTATCACGTGTGTGAGTGGAGGTCCACTCCGATTTTCTGTTTGTTCTTCAGGTGGTTATTGGGATGTATCGTAGAAAGTACCTCTAACTTTCTGATTTTGTAAATAGAGGCACCACTTAATAAGCAAGTTGATGAATGTAGTATTAGAATTGAGGTTTGGGATTTCTGAAATGGCAGCAACTGTTTTGTTTATAATAAGCCCTTCCTGTGACCTGTTTCTATATTAGAAGATGCTAGGGAGCTCCTGTTTTTGGGCTTGATAGAACTGGCAGTTACATGTTTGCTTCAAATAGTAGTTTCTTGATTATATTTTAGAAGGGTCAGAAGAGATTTTAGCCAGACATCATAATTGCACAGCATGGTGTAATTTTATTTAGCAAAGCACAATATTAACAATTAAAATAATTATATGGGGAAGAAGGGAGGTTGTATTTAAGTGTAGCAACATGTAAAGTATTTTCAGCACTGAATTTTACTGCATGTTTATAAAGAGAATTATGTGATTAGGAATTAGTAAGATGAATGTCCGCTTCCATTCATAATGATGGTGGCCTAGAAAATATTTTCAGATCTTTCAGAAACAATGTATCAGTTCTAAAAAATGATTCTACGTTGATGCATTTTTCTGCTTTACTGGTGTATAAGTACAACTGAAAAACCTTCTCATGTATGTGTTAGTACTTTTTAATAATAATGCTTAACTTCTGCACTGTAGACGCCTTAAAGGTTCAAATACCTGAAACACGGAGGCTAAGTATTTGGGTTTATTTGTTTGGCAAATCTAGTGTTTACTGACCAGTAACAATTAAGCTATACTTATTTTGCTTCTATAAATCAGTACTTACAAATAAGTTTGTAGATGATTACAATTATTTAAACTTTCTTTCAGGGTTTGAAAGTAGCTGCAGTAATGGAGTAATATCAAATAAAGCGCATCAATCTTACTGTCACAGTAAACACGCGACCACCAGCTTGAATGTACCAGAGCTCAACAACATAAACGTATCAAGATCACAGCAGGTTAACAGCTATTCCAGGTGAATAAAGATGCTTCTAACTTACATCGAGGCTTGTGTTGTCCATGTGGTTGTATTGCAGAGAAGAGTTTTCAGTGGGATTTGATGTGATTTTTTTTTCAAGGACAGTTAAAACATTTAGTGTAAGAGGCCAACAGCGCGTGATCACTGTAGTGTGCTTTGGTTTTGTTTTAACTTCTCAAGCTCAAGAGACTGTTTTCTCCTGTTTGGTTAAAGAAATGCAATGGACAAAAACAAATTACCTTGCTTATAGCTAGTTATGGTCCGTTTTGAAGTTGTATAGTGAAGATTAACTAGCTCTCTGGGATTTTAATTTAAGCCCCTGATGTTGATTTAAGCACGTTGCATGTAGGTAATGAAAAGTTTTCCAGATACTCTCCATTTGTGGCAGTATCTGCAAAGTGAACACAACTGAAATGCGTATGAAATGTGGACTCCCTTCCATTGCATACACAAGAATTGTTTGCCGGCTCCAATCACTGCCACTTGTGCAAACGCATTCAATTCAGAGAATGAAAATAGATGTACTAGCCAGGGTTAATATGGTTATTCATAACCAGTAAATATTAAGCTCTGGATCGCACAGATGCAGCAGAACCTAATTTGATGTGAAATAAAACGGTACTTGGCCGCGTTGCCCAGGATGGATTCCCAAAACTACCAACTAGGATGTGATGATGTGGTGGTGATAACAAAAAGTATTTCAGTTGGATAGTGATGATTGGAGGAAAAAAGTAACAGCAGCAATTTACTTCTTAACTTCACGATTTGTATTTGTGTCAGCAATTGTCTCTGCCAAAAAGCATGGCAGTGTCCAGGCAACTTTGAGATTTTTCACAGGAGGATGACAATTCCTTGGCTGCGGTGTTGCCCAGTCAGAGAAGCCTTTTGGTTTCCTTCCTCAATGGAAGCTGGGTATTTTTGGTTGCTTAGAAACAAGACATTGAACTTTTACATTGCATCTTTTTGGTCTTGAGAGAGGTTTTATGTTGTCGTTCTCCATGACGAAATAGAACAGGCTGGGATGTAACTGTCAGCAAAGCTCAGTCCCCAAAGCCATGCTGGCATTTTCTAGAAGTGCTTCTGTGACCTGCTGCGAGCAAAGTGCGGTGAGGAGTTGTATGCTCTGAATTTGCCTCTGAGTATCTCTTCAGTGTCTTGGTTTACTCAGTATTTGCTTTGGGTTTTTCTTCTTTTTCCCTGTCATTCCACTGTGAGTAAATGAGAGATCAAGGCTTTTTTGAAAGAATTCTTTACCTAAATTTGATATTCTCGAAGTAGGCTGTATATTGAGTTAACTGTGTTTTTGAGAAGGGGGGAAAAAAGAAGTGGGAATGGTGTATTTTCTCAATGCATTTTCTCCAGCTCTGTTGTATGTACAGATATATAAACCAGGTAAGAAGTTTTTGGTGGGTATTTAGAAAGTGTTATACTACTTACTCCTGAATAATGGTAGACATGTTTAATTTTTCAGCATCTGAAAAAGTTACGTAACTGAATGCTAATGTCAGTTGAGAAAACCTTAAGATTTCCCTTAAAAATTCCCTTAAAATTATCACCAGTTGCTATGGAAAGAACTGTGGTCTAACTTGGTAATATTTAAAAGCAGCTTTTCAGTAGCCAAGATGTGGAAGTACTGTGCTGAAGTTGTGAAGAAGATAGCCCGAAGTACTTACAAATGAGTAAAACTTTTATTTATTACTCTCTTTTCAGCAATGATGTAGACATGGAAACAGATCACTACTCCAATGGGGTTGCTGAGACTTCATCCAATGGCTTCCTAAATGGTAGTTCTAAACATGATCACGAAATGGAAGAATGTGACACAGAAATGGGTCTGCAGTGATATTTCTTACATTTTTATTAAGTGATGGCAACAAGGTTATGTTTTTACTTGCAATGCTTCCCAACTTGAAAATTAGGGATATTAGCTCAAATTTAGGTTTTGCTTGTTTGTTTGTTTTGCTCTTGTTAGATGTAAATCTTATAACCACTGATTTAGGTGGTCCAATGTCATTGTGAGAACAGGGGAAATTGGTAACTCGTGGATATTGAAACTAGCATCAATTTCTAAGAACCTACCTTTGAGAAGAAGCATCCTATTGTGTAGCACACCTGGGTCAGGGTTGGCAGATTGCTTCTCCCTGTTCCCCTAGTCCTCTTACCGTCCATGGTTCTCATGGCATCTTTGCACTCGACAGTAAGAGCAGAAATTCCAAATCACTTATGTTGAAGAATGCAAAGTGCTAATATTAAATGCTCAAGAAAAGAGCTATATTTGGGAACTGAGATGACGGGGGGGGGGGGGGTGCGCTGAGGGCAGTTTTCCACCAAAAAAAAAAAAAAAATCCTGTTTTACATAGTTACGGTCTAAAAAATAACTTTTTTCTTAACCTGCTTTGTACTTAGTCATACCTGTTGACATTAGTGACAAATGAGTATTTAAATACCCTGTGATTGCCAGCACGCCATAAAAAGATGCTGTTCACTCTGTCACTTACGGCGCTAACTGTCCCTGCCCAGTAAAGGCAGTCAGATCACTGAAGTGCACGCAGGCTGGAGCTTAGACAATGGTTGTTACTGCTGGCCGTGTCTGAAGAAGCGGAGGAATCCAGCCCAGCCATTTCTGCAGTTGCAGAACTATCTTCTCAAACCCTTGATTTAACCATAGATTAATAGATTAACTACCATTTAATAGGTAGTTTAAATGAAACGTGAAACTCGGGACATCGCTGGTAAACCTCCAGAATGCAGCAGTACTCAACAGGTGTCTACGAATGCTTCACAGTTCTGAGGGCGTGTGCTGCTGCTGATCATGCAGCTTTGCTGGTAAATACTAGGTAACTGTTGAGACGCAAACGTAATTCTGTTTACAGCCCTGAAGGGGGGAGATTCAAATTTCTGGGCTGCTTCCCTGCATTACGCTCTGAAACTGGATAATAACAAGGCATCACTTCTGTGACAGAAAAAACAAAACACTTCTTTACTCTCTTGCAGCCTTTCCCACAGAGGCTTGCTGTGACAGACATGAAGCAGCTGCACAGGGCACAGAGTTGGGGTTTTTTTTTTCGTTTTTTTTTTTTAATGTAGTTGTTTTCTGCCTTTGGAAAGTGATGTCCTAGATTGGGCTGCAGCTAGCAACAAACACCACTTCTTGAAGACTTGTGGGTGCTTCACCTTTGTAAAAAAGAATTGTGGCTCCTCAACCTACACTGTTTACTCCCCACAGTTTGAGTTTGGTGGCTTTTTGCTTTTAAGTATTATAAGAATATATAAGTATTTATATAAGTAAAGTGGCCAGTTGTATGTCATGTTAAGTAGGCAGATTTTTTCCAGTGGTGATATGTTCACATCTAAGGAAAAAAAAAAAGTAAAGTGGCCAGTTAGAAATCTTGTTTGAAATAGTGGTCAAAATACATCACTAGATAGCAATGTTAAAATCAGAAAGAAGAATGGTTTTGTAATTAAAGTGTACGTCAAAATTCCGATTCAAAACTTGATGCCAATGATGGAAAAAAGGCAGGGAATGGATAAATGTGTTTTTTTTAGTTGGTGTGGGTTTGTTTTTTTTTTTTACTGGTTGCTTTAGTTATAAATTTTAAAAAGGCAGAACTTTCAGAAAAGCCAAGGGTTAATTTACTATTCATAAACTGCATTAATGTCTTTTAAAATCACTAGTATTGGTGAATATTGTAGCAAACGGTAAAAAAATCGGTGGTAGTGTTCTGCTTGATAACAAAAGAAGCCTGAAATGTCCAAATTATTAAGCTAATATGTTCTGTAGAACTCATTACAAGGAGTACGACCAGTCTAAATGATCACCTTGTAGCAGCATCCATCGTGGCTGTTCAGAAAGTTCAGGGTGTTTTTACCCTCTATTAGCAGTTCCGGATTTGGCCTATCTTTAGAAGTGCAATGCCAAAGAATTAAAAAGGCAGAACTGCGTGGACTTTCATTGTTGTCGTTACTAATTTTAAACTCCCATAAAGTTTTAGGCTAAAATTTGGTTTATAATCTAGTCAGTTTAAAATTAACCATTGCAAAATAAACAGCACGTGTAGACAGCCTTTGCCGTTAGGGAAGGAAGTCTCTTAATGTTTATGAAGGAGCAGTTCAGCAGTGCTCGGTATAGGAGCACATTATGCCAAGGTCTCTGGCCCGACGTGCTTTCTGTCTGAGAAGGCAGATGTCTTTTGAGTGGAATCAGTGCAGGTTCTCTAGACCCATAGATTGTTACGGTCAGCTCTATTAGTGGTGATGATGACGGTATCATTTTTGCAGAAGTAGATTCAAGTCAGTTAAGACGTCAGCTGTGTGGCGGCAGCCAAGCGGCTATTGAAAGAATGATCCATTTTGGAAGAGAATTGCAAGCAATGAGTGAGCAGCTAAGAAGAGAATGTGGCAAAAACACAGCGAATAAGAAAATGCTCAAGGTATGTTTCATCTTGAAACTGTGGTGTTAAGGTGAATAACTGTGCTGCCCAGCAGAAGCTTTCCACAGCACCTGGTGTTGCACTACTGTTCTGCTTTAACTTCTGTGATTTTTTTGGTTCCCCCCTGCCCCCGAGAGCAGTATTCTAGTCAGCTGTGGTGTAGCACTGTCTCCTGTCTTGTCTGTGTAGCACATTCACAGGGAAGATAATTTCATACTGTAATGCAAGTAGAACCAGAGATGGATTTAGCACTTCCCTCCATCTCATTTCTGACCATGTAGCTTGGCCTCTTGAATCCAAGTGCTGTGTTCAACTCTAATGATAAATGAACTGCAAGAAAGAGGATTGATACAGATGTCTAATGTGCTTTCTTTAGTACTCTGTGTGTTAATTGGTTTACCTTGATTTGAGACCGCTCTGTAAAAGAATTCCCCTGCCAAAGACTGACCGCATGCAATTTTCAGTCTGTTTTCTCTTTCCCCATCACTTAAAAAATACTGCTAACGTTTGTCTTTCCGTTGGGAAAAACACTGCTTGCTCAAAATGGAACAAGTCCTGCTACACTTACTTTTCATCCTTTCGTATTGATGACGGACACTGACAATCACCTTTGCGATTCTGAATCAAAATGGGTGAAGAAATAGTCCTTGTTTTCACTAGTAGAATATTACTGCGAGAAGTTAACAAAAATCATCTTTCCACAGGATGCATTCAGTTTACTTGCATATTCAGATCCCTGGAGCAGCCCTGTTGGAAATCAGCTTGACCCGATACAAAGAGAACCTGTGTGCTCTGTACTCAATAGTGCAATACTAGGTAAGTAAGTGAGGGCTGGTGGCTTTCACGCGTGGTACGGAGTGCCTTTTGTTCCCGACAGGTAGCACTGCTGCTCGCCACGCATCATTTGCTGGGCTTGGCACTGGGCTGGCTGAGCGATGAGCGAAGTAAAGGTACGCTCTTTCAGTAAAAGGGAGGGGTCGTTTGCGGGGCATGTTAATGTAACAGATGTAATGGTCGTCATCCTTGTTGTTCAAAGCAGAAATGGACCTGTTCAATAATGGTGCTATGCAGGGAATTTGAAACTGTTGCTCTGTTGCTCCTGCTGTCTTGCTGTAAGAGCAAACTTTGCAAGTGAGCACATGAATTTTGAAATGAGTGGTTTAAGCAAGCTTACAATTTGTTTTCAGTGTGCTACCATGAAATTAATCGGTATTTTAACTGCCGTGATTCTTTCTCAGAGACTCACAATCTGCCAAAGCAACCACCGCTTGCCCTAGCAATGGGACAAGCGTCTCAGTGTCTAGGATTGATGGCTCGATCGGGAATTGGATCCTGTGCGTTCGCCACGGTGGAAGACTACCTACACTAGCTATGCATTTGAAGAGCTGAAAGGTGGTGTGGCATATTCAACATGGAAAGTAGACCAGCTCTGCTGACTGGAATTTGGAATTTTAATTATGTACTAAGGACAAGTCTGTCGCTTTATGTTGCTTCCTAGTTTACAGCATGATGCAAATGATTTCTAACTTAGCGTTAGGAGAAAATGTCCATCTTTAAACCTCTTAGACAACTAAGAGTTGACAACATCACTGATAATGTCAGACATCCAAATTGACAAGTACAGATCCTTTAAACGATTGTCCAAAACAAACCAAAAATCCTGCTACCTTGTGGTGGGACGGAAGAATGGAAAACGTGGATGTATTAGCATGTGGGTGACGTAAACGTCAAGCAGGATGACTTGCCAACCTCCGCCCCCATTGTTACATAGTTCAATCAGTGTAATTTACAAAATGCATAAAACACCTGATGGTTTGGATATATAGTGTTGATGGGAAGAAATGATATTTTTTAATGTGTACTGTAAAACTTGAATTACTCAGGAGCTGAGTGAATATGTTTGTTGCTACTTACAATCCCAACCTGTTGATCTTAGTAGTTTTTTGTTTTAACACGGTCTTTTCAACTTTGTTTCCTTGTTTAACTACAGACAGCTTCTGTTGTGTAGACTCACCAGTTTAACTGTTGTATTATAACAGTATTACATGTCAACACAGTGTGGTTATGACCTATTTATATAAAAACCAAATATTTAGTCAATTTACAGTCTTAATTTAATCTTTGTACACCTTGCATTTTTAAAAGTGCTTAAATAGTACTATATTGCAATAAAATGTAGTGATACCATAATTAACCAGCCATTAAAAACTTACTTCTACATACATGGTAGCATGGACTTGTATGCTACACTTTCCTGGTTCTAGAGTTCTATCCTAGAACAGCTCTTCTCGCGTAGACCCACGAATTCACCATGACAGCTCGCTGGTCGAACCGGGGATGCCACTGCCCTCCACCAGAGCACTGCGCTGGGCTGTCAGAGGTTAAAGGTTTACTGTGTTCTTGCTGTGAAGCAAGTCTAGCTAGCAGGGCAAAGTCAAGGCCCTGCTGGAAGCTCATTCAGTCCTCCCTGAAGATGGGGGGGGGAACCTTATTCTGTGAAAGTACTCATCAGTCTGGACAGTAGTGTCCCCACTCCACCTAATGATTCTGGTCTTAGGATACAGCCTTTCTTTAGAGATGCAAGTCACTGAAAAAGCAGGCGTAACGGATTGTTGTAAGAAATGCAGCGTCCAGACCAGTAAGTACCACATCGCTCGTCTTTATTCTCTGCAAAGGAGCTGCCTCACAGAGCAGCACCCAGCTCTAGAAGGCTGGTTGTAACACCAGCTGTTCTAAGTCAGCGTTAAGGACACACAGCTGTTTCTTAGCTTCCCTGACCCCTTCTGAAAGGGGAGGGAAGAGAACAGGGAGGTCAGTTCAGGCGGAGCTTTGTGAAGATCAGTGCCAGCTGGTGGCTGGAGCTGAAAGCAGGGCAATGATGGAGAAGTGGAGAGAAAACACCTTTGTTGTGTTGAGAGACTGACTTTCAGCAGAAGTCCTTAATAGCATCTTCTGAAAAAAGCTGTCTTCATACTCAATTTTTAATCTGTGTTGAGAGCCAACGTTTTTTAAACCTTGCTGCTCTTTGCTTTTTTTCTTGCCCTTAAAAAAAAAAAAAAAGGCTGTTAGTTACCAAAGGCTGTTAGTTTTAGCCCATCTACTGCAGCATTTCAGAACAGAAGAACCAGTTGGAAAGCTGATAAGCTTCCTATCATAGTTCACATACAACAGCTGGCTTCCACTGGCCAGGGCACCAAGCTGTGCCCATCATCTCCTTCACAGGGAGGGCGGGGGTACAGCAGTGCTTTCACTTCTGAAGCACAACTGAAAAGCAGACTGCCTGCTCAGGACCAGTGACTTTGGCCCCTGGTATTCATGAGCCTTGCAGAGTGTGCTGGAGTGGCAGTGTGGCTGGAACTGAGGCCCGTAGGAGTCCGTCCCCATTCATTTCTGTAACGTCACTTTTTACGAGGAGAAAGAGGCACTATTTCCCTGTGCTCACACAGAAGTTCTGGGATTTGACATCCCTGCTTTTTTTTTTACACATCTGAAATGACTTCCAACAACAGCTCAGAGGTTGTAGGCTGAAACAACAATTAGAGTATTTATTTCAACAAGCAAACATGGTTCTAGGCCCAGATGCTGCTTCTTAATACACCAAAAGTGAGGTAATTTTTTCAAGTTCTGTCCTGCACCCCTCCCCGGCGGAGCGCTTGCTACACCCGCTCAGGCTGCGGTGCCCTGCTGCCCTTCCCGTACTGTCAGGTTCTTTGAGATAAGAGGTAGCAAGATGCAGCCCTCTAACAGGAGAAAGCTTTGGTTTTAAAGTGTACTTTAAACCACATGCACATACAGTAGTGCCTGCTTTGACTTTCTATACTCACCCCAAGATTTGTCCACAAACTGAACTGCAGCTTTTTTAACTGGGTTCTTCTTATTTTCAAGGGAGAAAAATTCATTTGCTGAAATGGAGATGAGCATTAATTAATTACCAAGTGTGACACAGACAAATCCAGATGCAGACCCACCTACGAAGGAGAAAACTGCCTACCCTGTGCCCGGTTGGCGTCTGGTCCGTAGAGATGAGTGTTTAAAAAGTCTTTGGCGAGCTGTTGGTGGAGGCCTGTTAAACTCTGATCTTTTAAGCACACAGCCGTATAGTTTCCTTTTGACCTAGTTAAATAAAGAGATTAAAACCCCTGTAGCGTAGTTACAGAACCCAGAACAAGAGACACACTAGTTTAGTTTAGTTAATGCTTTGCTGCTTGAGCACAGCAGTCGCCGGTGCTGGTTTCTGATGCTCAGCCAAGCTTTGCAGTGGTACTAAAAACCCCAACAATTGGACCAAGACTCTCAACCCGTCATCGTATGCCTTTATGTGCCCCAAGTAGTTCCTTGGGAGTCTTGAACTAGTCCTACCAGAAGCTAATGCAATTACTCTACAGGGACAGCAGTGACAAAGAAACAAAGGGGGGAAAAAAAAAGAAAAAAAGGCTGAAACGCAGGAGTTCAGTGCTCAGAACCAGACCTGCAGCAGCACGTAACAGGATGCCTACTGCTGTGCTTATGACTGCCCAGTTATCTCATAGCAGTTGTATATACACAACTGTGGTTTAACCCAGCCGGCAGCTAACCACCACACAGCCCTTGGCTCACTCCTCCCCACCCCAGGGCGATGGGGGGGGGGGGACGTGGAA